TAGGCTGGCCAAGGACGCGGTCAAGAAGGAACCACCTGTCTACGGCAGGATTCGACGGAGGAAGTCCTCCCTGCCGAACAGTAGAGGCTCCACGACGTCCCTTAGCGACACCAGGTATAGGCCTGGGAGTTTGATGGTTAAAGAGAGGGCGGTGGACGTGGAGTTCAAAACGACCCGACACCTGCGGGATCCTGTGCCTGACGCGCCGTACTATCCGGCGACCCTGCCTCTGGTGGACATGCGAACGAATCCTCACAGAAATGCGCTTTACGCCAAGGTGTCTCGGAAAACGAAGAGTCAGGCGCACGATAACAAGGCTGATACGAAAGCTGGTGTGGACGGTAGGGTCGAGAGTGAGCTAGAGCCTGGACGGACCATGTCGAGGAAGAGGATCATAGAGAACATGAAGGAGGACAAGGACTCTGGCGAAATTCAGTCGGAATTTCAGTCAGAAAGTCAGTCAAAGCACTTCGAGAAGGAAAAGAACGCTGTTGACAGCAATCGAACGAAGCGGAGATCGAAGTCTCAGAGCAGGTTGATCGAAAACTTTCGCTCGACGCATCGAGAGATCGACGCAGTCACCAGACTGGCCACTCTTCCCAGTTATGTGAAAAGTTCGAGAAAGTGTTCGACCGAAAGCCCACCGGGTATCGAGTGTCACGGAAAAACGACCAAGGAGATGTCGAAGCAGAGCAAGGAGAGGTCCAATTATGTGAAGAAGTCCAACGGTCATGCGAGGACCTTTAGCGACGCTAATAGTGGACGATCCATCTCGCCAGTTACGACATCCTCCATTTTCGGCTTCTGTACGGGAAAGAGGAAAGTTCAAAATTCCTCTAACGGTGCCGCCAAGAATGAAATCGTGTCGTGTCCCACGTGGAACGTGAAAACGGTTAGCATTCTTTATGATTATGCTGACAGCGTGATATTCTTGTAACTGTGTAGTTCAAAGGGTGAACATAAATCATTTCTATACATGATAGGATTCATAGTTTGTTCTTAGCGGACCTTCATAACTGCGCGGTCAGTTATGGAGGGTGGTGTGAAAAGGGACTTTCAGGCTCAATTTTTGATTGGAGAAATATGAAAAACAGTATGAACTTATGGTGGCAACTTTTATATCAAAAGTTGTATATTTATCTTATATTTTTATGTCCAAATTTTTGTCTCACAATTTTACATTTCTGCTTGAGAATTAGGTTTTGTTTTTGTTCTGGGTTTTGTCAAATAGACCCATTTTAAAATATTTTCAAGTGGACCTATTTTGAAATCTATTTTGAAAATGGATCTAGAGATGTTGCTTTAATATACATTACAGTGGTGTCTCGCTATATGGCCCAACAGTTAAAATTTCGAAATTTGAGTACAATAAAATGTGAAAACCTATTTTGAACATAGATCTCTAAAAGATGTTTCATTGTACATTGCACTAGAGTCTCGCTATATGGCCCAACAGTTAACAATTCGAAATTTGAGTAGAATAAAATATGAAAACCTATTTTGAACATAGATCTCTAAAAGATGTTTTATTGTACATTGCACTAGAGTCTCGCTATATGGCCCAACAGTTAAAATTTCGAAATTCGAGTACAATAAAATGTGAAAACCTATTTTGAACATAGGTCTCCAAAAGACGTTCCACCGTACATTACAGTAGAGTCTCGCTATATGGCCCAAAACCGAAAATTTCGAAATTTGACTAAAATAAAATGTGAAAAACTACATATTAGCGAATTCTAAGTTTTGTAATTGTATTTGCAGGGTGAATTAGTGTGGTTCGACCCGGGTGTCGGCCACGTGTTACCAGGAGAAGTCTTGGAGTACCACAGAGCGGCGAACGTTCTATCCGTGCAAGCAGTGATCGCCGGCAAGGTATGAAGTCAATCAAAAAAATGATGAATCGATTACTGTAAATGGGACAAGCGTAAATTATTCGCAATTTGAACGATCGACTAAGTTATGCAAGATCTGTGACAACCTCGATTACGATGCGCGCGAGTCGTTAATGAGTCCGCGTTACGCTTTTGCGTCGTTTTTTCGCTCGGGTCAAAAATGAAACTACGTTATTACCGAAGGGATAGAAACGATGGAAGTGTGTTAGCGTACATGCTAGTCAACAATACGACTTCGAGGCCAAGGAACAACCGGTTATTCTGCATTTCCTTAAAGCGACGTTCGCTTCGACCAGTTGGTCGACGTTCTTTACTATGTTCCATTGACTTTTTACTATGGCTGTTTGGCGCAATAACAATGGCTGGAGAATAGAATTCGCGAGAAGAGCTGCTCGTCGGAAATGTTTATTCTATTTAATCACCGTTGTTTGTTTCTTGGAAGTGGGTCTTCTAACCGAGTTATTGTGAGAACATTCTTACAGATTCGAATATTCAAAAACTCGCTTCTTTAAGTCACTGCATTTTCGAGCTTCGTGCTTGCCGATTTATTGAAATCGTGAAAGAAATTGTACTTACTGAATTGTTAATGAAAAATAATTTTCACAATGATGGGAAAATGAAAGTCTTCGTATAATAAAGTATTTTATTAACTCTAACTACATGCTGACAAGATTTTGTAATCTTGAAAGTTTTATGAAAATTATTGGAATAAATAAATTAATTCTCAACTTGTAAGATGCTCTGAATCGTTTTCACTGTACTTTCAAACTGCTGTACCACTGCTAGTTTGCAATACTATGTCATCGAATCAATTACGCTTTCATTTTCTTTTCGTTAACCAGATCACTTGCGCCATTTTGTGTGTCGAATGAAGTTTACTCTGCATCTGGTCTTTGCAGCAATTAATTATTTGCTTTATGTACTGAATATTGGTAAAATGTTTATGTACACATGTTCTTTAATTCTTGAACTTTAAATTGACGTACCACAAGTGCTATTTTAAATCATTTTTATAAAATTATGATCGTGAGGCAGACATAACCTAAAACCTACATATTCTGAATCTGATCATTGCTGAAATTATTATTCATTTTGTGTAAAATATTGATGAAATGTTTATGAACACACTTTCTTCAAACCTTGAACTGTAAATTGAAGTATTATAAATGCGATTTTAAATCATTTTTATAAAATTATGATCGTGAGACAGACATAACCTGAAACCTACATATTCTGAATCTGATCATTGCTGAAATTATTATTCATTTTATGTCTAAAATATTGATGAAATGTTTATGTACACATGTTCTTTAATTCTTGAACTTTAAATTAACCTACCACAAGCGCTATTTTAAAGCATTTTCAAAATTTTTACAGACAGTCTTTATGTAACAAATCTGACACATTAGAAAGTTCACATATGCAAAAAATGCACGTGTCGCGAAAAAATCTTGGAAATCAAAAACTCAATTAAATAACATGAAACAGCACTTCCTTGATTTTTGTTAAGATTTCATACTGTCAAGATTTTGTCAAGATTTACCGCGTTAACAATACATACGTAATATATTAATTTTTATTCCTCGAGTAAAAATACCTAACATATAATTACATATTACAAAAATGCCTAAAGAAGTATCAAATCATCAAAAAAGACCATTTGGTCAAAAAAGACCATTTGGTCGCAGGAAGTAGCGATTCGAGCTACAAGACTTCCCGTGGAAGCCTGGCTAGTCAAATGCATCGGGACTAGAAAGTCCCGATCGTCGAATGCCATGCATTCTTTGCGAAATACCGCGAAATACTTCCGCGAAAGTGGTCTGTTAGGTATCTTGGAAAATTACGTCCACACCGTGTCCGATAGAACGTCGTGTATCGATCGTAACGCGAAAGTGCATATCGTAAAAGGGGCAGCATGCTGATCGCGGGGTTGCAACACCTTCGTACACTTTCAAGCTCCAAGGACGATATATCGGCAGGAAACGTGTCTGCTGAGTATTTTTCACGTTCCTGTCTTTCACTTTCGTGTCTCTTCTTTGCGTTTCGATTTGGTCGATTTGTACTTGCTTATCGATTTGTACTCACGTGATACGACATACATATGTGATATTATACGATATTTTTATTTGATGTTGCATTGGGAGTCATGAGAGTTAGGTCTCAAGGTGTGGTTGATAGTTATAAAATTTAAAGTAATTTCAAAGTTTGAGTTGTAAGTCAATAGTTGGAAGTTTCAAGATGGATTCCAAGGAAGATTCAATATGGCTACCAAAGCATCTGATGCTTCTAAAGCATCAATCACGTGCTTTTACAGCATCAATTTAGAACTTCAAAGTGATGAAGACACAAAATACTATTTTTTGAGATTTTTGTTTCACAAGGTTATTTTTTAATGTTGTGTATTTTTCTAAGCTTTAAATTCTTAAAATTTCAAGGTCTTCAGGGTTACAAACTCTTATAATACTAAATTCATGAAGTTCCAGTATCTTGGGGTCCTATCTTCGAAGGTCCTATTTTCAAATTCTCAAAATTCCATATTCTCAAATTTAGTACCAGGGTGTCTATTTGTCGAAGACCCTAACTCTCAAGGTTCCTATAATTGAAAGACCCTAACTCTCAAGGTTTCTATGTCTCAAGGACCCTAACTCTCAAGGTTCCTATCATTTAAAGACCCTAACTCTCAAGATTTCTATCTTGCAAGGACCCTAATTCTCAAGGTTCCTAACTCTCAAGGTTTCTATGTCTCAAAGGCCCTAACTCTCAAGGTTTCTATCTCTCAAAGTTCCTAACTCTCAAGGTTTCTGTCTCTCAAAGTCCCTAACTCTTAAGGATCCTATCTCTCAAATACCCTAACTCTCAAGATTTCTATCTTGCAAGGACCCTAATTCTCAAGGTACCTAACTCTCAAGGTTTCTATCTCTCAAATACCCTAACTCTCAAGATTTCTATCTCTCAAAGGCCCTAACTGTCAAGGTCTCTATCTCTCAAAACCCCCCTTCACAAGGTCCCAAACTTTTATAATCCCAAATTCCCAAAATTCCAAATTTTCTAGGTTCCTATCTCCTAAGTATCCAAATTTGCAAGGTTCCTATTTCTAAAAACCCCTAACTCTCAAAGTTCCTATCTCTGTAGGTCCTAAATTCCCAAACCCCCCCCTTCTCAAGGACCCAAACTCCTGTAACCCCCAATTCTCAAAATTCCAAATTCTCGAAATCCCAACCTCCCAAAGTCCCAATCTCGCAAAGTTTCAATCTCCCAAAGTCCCAATCTCCCAAAGTCCCAATCTCCCAAAGTCCCAATCTCCCAAAGTCCCAATCTCCCAAAGTCCCAATCTCCCAAAGTCCCAATCTCCCAAAGTCCCAATCTCCCAAAGTCCCAATCTCCCAAAGTCCCAATCTCCCAAAGTCCCAATCTCCCAAAGTCCCAATCTCCCAAAGTCCCAATCTCCCAAAGTCCCAATCTCCCAAAGTCCCAATCTCCCAAAGTCCCAATCTCCCAAAGTCCCAATCTCCCAAAGTCCCAATCTCCCAAAGTCCCAATCTCCCAAAGTCCCAATCTCCCAAAGTCCCAATCTCCCAAAGTCCCAATCTCCCAAAGTCCCAATCTCCCAAAGTCCCAATCTCCCAAAGTCCCAATCTCCCAAAGTCCCAATCTCCCAAAGTCCCAATCTCCCAAAGTCCCAATCTCCCAAAGTCCCAATCTCCCAAAGTCCCAATCTCCCAAAGTCCCAATCTCTTAACTCACCAAATTCCCAAAATACCAAATCCTCCTTAATTCCTCCCCAAGTCCCTAATTTCCAAGGTTCCTATTTCTCAACATCCCAAACCCCAAACCCCAAACCCCGAACCCTGAACCCCAAATCTCAACATTCCAAAACTCCGAATCCCTAAAATCTAAAAGCCCAAATAAAACCATGACACTAATCACTCCAAGACCGACAAATAACCTCCCAACGAAAACGCAAGTTTTTGTAGAATAATTGCCGTTATCGGAGCGCGTCAAGAGGAAATCCCTCGTCAACAAAGTGCTCGTCGGCTGTCAGCTGACAGTTTATTACACGATCGACAGTAGCAACGCTTTTCTAAATAAAGCATAACGTTAATGTAATTGCAGTTGACGAGCTCACAGCCGTATCGGGTTCGTTTTATTTCGCGTGACGAACGCGGCTCGACTTATCATTGATTATTTACCTCTGTGAATGTGTCTCGTGTTCGATTTCTCGATGCATTGTGCACCAGCGGCGGAGTCTAGTTCAATGGTATCCCATTATAGATGACGATGCACACGGGCGTAGGAAATAGATACTCTTGTTTCGGTCGTTTGCATTGTAACTGTATTTATTCTTCATTTATTCTTCATTTATTCTTCATTTATTCATTTATTCGTATACTTATTTATTTTTGAAAAATCACTGTTTCATAGAAAAAAAATGTATGTTCTATACATTTTTAGTATTGTTTTTTTTGGTGAAGTTAAGAGGTTTGAAGTTGTAATTTATTAGCTAGTGATACTATTATAATACATAACATTAATATATGTTAACACTTTAATAGTCGCTCACACAACATATGTACATATGTGTGCTGACTGATGAACATATGTGTATGTTCTATACATTTTTAGTATTGTTTTTTTTGGTGAAGTTAAGAGGTTTGAAGTTGTAATTTATTAGCTAGTGATACTATTATAATACATAACATTAATATATGTTAGCAATTTAATGGCCGCTCACACAACATATGTACATATGTGTGCTGACTGATGAACATATGTGAATGAGTATTTTTGATAAAATTAAAAGGTCTGATGAAGTTGTAGTTTATTGGCTAGTGACACTATTACAATACATAACATTAACACATGTTAAAAATTTAATGGTCGCTCACACAATATATGTACATATGTGTGCTGACTGATGAACATATGTGAATGAATATTTTTGGTAAAATTGAAAGGTCTGATGAAATTGTAATTTATAAACTAGTGACACTATTACAATACATAACATTAATACATGTTAACAATTTAATGGCCGCTCACACAACATATGTACATATGTGTGCTGACTGATGAACATATGTGAATGAGTATTTTTGATAAAATTAAAAGGTCTAATGAAGTTGTAATTTATTGGCTAGTGACACTATTACAATACATAACATTAACACATGTTAACTATTTAATGGTCGCTCACACAACATATGTACATATGTGTGCTGATTCATGAACATATGTGAATGAATATTTTTGGTAAAAATAAAAGGTTTGATGAAATTGTAATTTATTAGCTAGTGACACTATTACAATACATAACATTAATACATGTTAACAATTTAATGGTCGCTCACACAACATATGTACATATGTGTGCTGATTTATGAACATATGTGAATAAATATTTTTGGTAAAATTAAAAGGTCTGATGAAGTTGTAATTTATAAACTAGTGACACTATTACAATACATAACATTAACACATGTTAACTATTTAATGGTCGCTCACACAACATATGTACATATGTGTGCTGATTCATGAACATATGTGGTTGCTGCAATAATTATCATACAGAAGAAAATATTAAATTTATCATACTAAATGTATTGATTATCGATAGTAACACGTCAGTTGCTATATGTACATCATTATCAACATACGTATTAATAATTTTGCATCGCCTAATTTTCCACATATGACACAATTATAGCCATAATTCGGAAGTTGCTGTTTACCTATGATTTATAACCTAAAAAATTACTTGAACAGGTGTTTTCTATTTAAATGAAAAATTCAAGTGATAATTGGTGTTTACAAACGTTCTCAAAAAGTTCCAATTAATCAATCAATTTCAAAGTCAGTTAATTACCCAACGTTCCAGCGTTAAGTCCCAGTAACTTTCGCCAATTAATCCGTCCGTAAGTGCACCGTTTACCACATTTCCAAAACGCGTCTCAAAAAGAGTTTCTCCGATATCAATCACAGCAATTAATACGGGTTAAGGAGTTTAACAAAGGAGAAATAAATAATACTTGTAATTACTGTGTCAGTAAGGGGTATCGTTTTGTATTCATATATATTTAGAGTCAGGCTCGTTAAGAAGCCGGTAACGGGATCGGTTTCCGTTCGCAGCGATAAACGAACATGTCAGTTAAAGCGTTTAAGATCTAAGGGGATCGCGTTTCCCGCGGTTGGTTCGACGCCAATGGTACTGCAAAGTCAGCCTGCTCCGGTATCCGGTTAAGTCTCACGTGAGTGGCTTTCGCGTCTTATGTGAATTCGCGCGGATCTTCCTTTTTTATCGTGCGTTCGCTCGGTGATCAGCTCGCGTTCGTCGGGAGAATCGGGCAAAAAACGCGATGCCAGGAAAGTTCTGGTACAACGTTTCAACGAACTTGGAACCTTCCTACTAACGCAAATGTTTAAAATGTCTCGACGTGTTCATGTAGAAATTTTATAAACATCACGCATTACGTGTACAAATTAAGGATATTGATATGTATGAGTTTAAACTCATAGGTACACAAGGTTATAGAGATCTCTGTAGGTATGTGATCATATAGGAATATTTACCTAGGTACACAAAAATTGAGGATATACTAATTGACACTAGGTAAAGATACCTAGGGATATGGAAGTTCAAGAGTATAGTAATCAATATACGTAAAGATTTGGACATCTAGGGAGACGGTAGGGAGAAGGTAGGGTGGTACAAGGATTTAGATATCTAGGGATATTCGATAGTACACTTGTCAAGATATACGGTAATCTAGAAATGTAGATATAGGAATCTTGCTATCTAGGGATATTGGGATCTAGGGATATAGGACAATTTTGGATCGTGAGAAATTTGGGGTCTAGAGAAATTTGGGATTTAGGGATATTTGGATTTAAGGATATTGGGATTTAAGGATCTAGGGAAATTTTGGGGTTTAAGGAAATTTGGGATCTAGGAATATTTGGATTTAAGGATATTGGGATCTAAGGATCTAGGGAAATTTTCAGGTTTAAGAAGATTTGAGATGTAGTGAAATTTGAGATCTAGGGATATTGTGATCTAGGAAAATTTTAATCTAGGGAAATCTGGAGTTTAGCAATAGTGTGACCTAAGGAAATTTGGGATCTAGGGAAATTTGGGACCCAGGAATATTGGGGCCTTGAGATATTATGATCTAGGGATAGTTGGGATCTAGGGATCTAGGGATGTAGAGATCTAGAAATCTAAGAATTTGGAAATTTGGAAATTTGGAAATTTGGAAATTTGGAAATCTGGAAATTTGGAAATTTAGAAATTTAGAAATCTGGAAATTTGGAAATCTAGAAATATAGGAATCTCAGGATATAAACACCTAGATCTCACATTTCCCTAAATTTCAAATTTCCCTAGATCCCAAATTTCCTTAGATCTCAATATCGCTAAACCCCAAATTTCCCTAGATCCCACATTTCCCTAGATCCCAAATTTCCTTAGATCTCAATATCGCTAAACCCCAAATTTCCCTAGATTCCAAATGTTCCTAGATCCCGAATTTCCCTAGATCCCAATATCCCTCGATCCCAAATTTCCCCAGATCTCAAATTTCCCTAGATCCCAAATTTAAATCTAGAGAATTGAACCAATCCATTGACCTGAAAATAGTATTTCAATCTAGAAACCTGGGAACCTAAGAACCTAAGAATGAAAAAAAAACTAGGAATGTAGAATGTATACAATAAATCTAATATACATTTTAAATCAGTTGCCACGTACGATTGCATGAATATCTCGTCAGTAAGCGGCGATCGAACAATAACGACACTCCAACGGAAAAGTTTGGGCTGCACAAAAGGAAAACTAGAGTCGACGAGTTATTCTGAAACATGACGATGTCAGAAATCCACGATGGAACCGAGCGACGATGTTCAAAAGTCAAGGTTACGCTCGAAGGAAAGTGTCTTCAGACACAAGGACGTGGAAGAGGTGCGTTCGTGTGCGTCACGGCAACACTTCGTACAACGGCATTACAAAACGACCGAGCCGATGCCGAAGAATTTAACGTCCGCCATCGACTTGAACTTCGATGAGGAATTTCTTCGAGAATTCCCAACGATCGATTCACGTATCGATCACCTGTTGCCAGCTCTTTCGAACGAGGAAAGTGACTATAGCGTTGGGTTGAGGATTTTAAAACTTCAATGTTCTATCATGATTTTATTATAGAATTGAAAAGTGTTGCATGACACTTTGCGTGTAACACTGGTACGTTAATTTAAAGGTCAAGATTTTATCAAAATTACTGCAAGGTTTGGGTAAAATGCCTGATACTTTTAACACAAAATGGTCACTGAGAAGTTGCAAGAGATGACTCATTTTGAAAAGTTGCAAAACTGAATTTACGCTTATGAGTTTGATAAAAATAATTCGTTGAATTAAAGAATCAATTTTTAGGCTTAAACTGAAATAACTCGAGGATGATTGTAGTGAAGTAAGTTGTACGTTTCAGCCACAGATCTTCACCCTGACAAACCTGAGCGGAGTGAAACCGAGGCAGGATCTTGGTCAAAATGGAGTCGAGGACATGATACAGTTAACGTAAGTTTGGTAACTAAAAAATGAGACCTAATTTAAAAGCATGATGAAAATTGCAGGGACCTGAACGAAGCGTCCTTACTATGGAACCTGAAGATTCGGTACGACAAGGAGCTGATATACGTACGTCTTTTATTTATTACAGCAGTGAGTAATTACAATAATTATGATAATTTAATTTAATTGTCAATTGATATCGTTAGACGTACACGGGAAGCATCCTGGTGGCGGTGAATCCCTATAAGATGTTCGACATTTATGGCTTGGACCAGGTGAAATTATATGAAGGACGGATCCTTGGAACCCTGCCACCGTGAGTTCTTTTAATAAATACTCGAATTTTATGACAAAATTATAAAAGTTTGTATAAGTTTTAAGATAAAGTAAAAATTTGTTAACAATCTCGAATTTGTTGATTTGAATTTTTTGGTTTGCAGTCATCTGTTCGCTGTTGGTTCGTCGGCGTACAGTCAGGTAACGGCGGCAAATAATGCAAGTGCGAATCAGGTGGTGGTCATTTCCGGTGAATCCGGTTCGGGAAAGACGGAATCCACCAAACTTGTAATGCAGTACTTAGCTGCTGTTAATCGAGCGCCGAACAACCTCGTCACGGAACAAATTCTTGAGGCTACCCCGTTATTGGAGAGTTTCGGCAACGCTAAAACGCCGAGGAACGATAATAGCAGCAGATTTGGGAAATATCTGGAGGTTTATTTCAGAGAGTGAGTATGAGAGAAATTGGAATCGTGCTACGTGTGAACGTTAGATAAATGAACGTCCTTGTGGCATAATTAGAATTGACACAAGTTATCCTATATGTGGAGGTTAGATAAATGAACTACATGCTGCATCATCAGATTTATGATTGCATTCAACTTATTCATATATGAAAATTAGAAAAATAAACTTCATCTTCACATTTTGTTTTATTAAAATCATGGGTACACTTGAAATATTATAACTCTCCACATATGAACATCTCCACACATGTATGTATTACAGCTCTCCACATATGAACATCTCCATACATGTATGTATTACAACTCTCCACATATGATCATCTCCACACGCGTATGTATTATAACTCTCCACATATGAACATTTCCACACATGTGTATTATAACTCTCCACATATGAACATCTCCATACATGTATGTATTACAACTCTCCACATATGAACATCTCCATACATGTATGTATTACAACTCTCCACATATGAACATGTCCACACATGTATATTATAACTCTCCACATATGAAGTTCTCCTATAACTCTCCACATATGAATATCTTCACATATGAACTTCTTCTATAACTCTCGACACATGACTATCTGCACCTATGCATAACTCTCCACATATGAAAGCTAAATAAATAAACATCCTCAAATTTGAACTAAACTCTGACGCAAAAATAATCCTATCGTATGATTCATCACTGAAACTTGTATCTAACTAATTAAAACACTTCCTCGATTAATTCAACGACGATTTCCAGCGGAGTGATCGTGGGCGGAAGAATAACTCAGTATCTGCTAGAAAAGAGCAGAATAGTGACCCAAGCGTCAGAAGAAAGGAATTACCACGTGTTTTATGAGCTGTTAGCCGGTCTTGATCAGCAACTCAGGGACAAATACGGATTGCTAACGCCGGATAAATATTTCTACTTGAACCAGGTGATCAGAACGTTCAACTGAATTAATATTTGCTCATTTAACACTTGGCTAATAAATTCATTCAGAATAATCATATGATAATTGTTCACCAGGGTGGGAACTGCGAAATCGATGGCAAGAGTGATGTTCAAGATTTCAAGGCACTGCTATCAGCCATGCAGGTCCTCGGTTTCACGTCCGAAGAGCAGGACACAATTTTCAAGATCCTCGCCAGCGTGTTGCACCTTGGGAACGTTTATTTCCACCGGAAGCAGATGAGACATGGGCAGGAAGGCGTCGAGGTTGGATCGGACGCCGAGATTCGTTGGGCTGCTCATCTTCTTCAAGTTAATTCCGATGGCATCATTAGGGCACTCACCACGAAGACAACGGTACATTCACATTGCACTACTAGTGACATCACTTCTTATAAATAATTGCATTTTCATTTATTTACTAGTTGTAAATGAAAAATTTTATATATATGCAAGATTATATGCCTTGATGTGTTTTGTGAATTGAGGAGTTGATAGGTTAAAGAAATTAAGTGGAAAGGGTTAGGTTGTTATTATATTACTCATATGTTATTACACATATGTGTTTAACTTACAATACGTGTTCAGTTGTTTACAATATCAAATTTTTAATTTTATAAGACTTGGTCTGAGTCTCACAGAAGTTGCATGTGTATTTCATATGTGTGTCCACATATGCACATGTTCCCTTGCTTATAACATGACATTTCAAATTTTATTCAAATCCAAAGCTGTCTCATAGCTGTTTAAGGTTACTGAACGTCTCTGAGTCTCAGAAGTTGCAAGTGTATTTCACATGTGTGTTCATATGTGTGTCCACATATGCACATGTTCCCTTACTTATAACATGACATTTCAAATTTTATTCAAATCCAAAGCTGTCTCATGAGACTTCATCTGACTCTCTCATAAATTTCTAAAAGTCCAATTTTTTTCTAAAATAAAATTCTTACAGGAAGCAAGAAACGAAAGAGTCTTCACAGCTCTAAACATCGATCAAGCTCTGGACGCAAGAGACGCGTTCGCCAAGGCGTTGTACAATCTTTGGTCTGAGACTTCATCTGACTCTCTCATAAATTTCTAAAAGTCCAATTTTTTTCTAAAATAAAATTCTTACAGGAAGCAAGAAACGAAAGAGTCTTCACAGCTCTAAACATCGATCAAGCTCTGGACGCAAGAGACGCGTTCGCCAAGGCGTTGTACAACTCATTATTTTCATGGCTAGTAGCTCGCGTGAACCACATAGTTTACAAAGGAACGAAACAGACCGCCGCCATCTCGATACTCGATATATTCGGGTTCGAGAACTTCACGGAGAACAGCCTGGAACAACTATGCATCAATTACGCGAACGAGAATCTTCAGTTCTATTTTAACAAGCACATATTCAAGCTGGAGCAGCAAGAATATGCCAAGGAGAAAATTGATTGGACTACTATCAATTACACGGTGAGTAACAGGATATTTAATGGTGGAGAAATTAACTGATAAGACTTTATTGATGCTTCGTTTGAAAATTAAAACAGCTAGTCATTGAGAGAAGAACATTTTTATTTATAACAATTTTAATTGTTTCTGACAATTATTAATGGTTTGAATTATTATACCAAAAAATTTATTATATAAAAAGTAGAATTATTATACCAAAAATTAATTGGAAAATTGGGAAATGCGTGCAGGATAATTTGCCAGTGATTCACCTAATCGCAAAGAAGCCTGTTGGTATACTACACCTTCTGGACGATGAAAGCAATTTTCCGAAGGCCACGGATCTCTCGTTCCTGGAAAAGTGTCATTACAATCATGCTCTCAGCGAATTGTACTCGAGACCAAGGATGAATTCCGCTGAGTTCGCGATTAAACACTATGCGGGTCAAGTTTGGTACAACGTCGAAGGTTTCTTGGATAAGAATAGGGACACGCTGAGACCCGACGTGGTAGAGCTGTTGATCAGCAGTAAAATATCTGTGAGTTATTGTTTATATAACAAGTTTTAATAATCCTACTGTTATATTAGACTATTAACTTAATTATTCTTAAAGAAGATTTTTAATAAATTCATAATTCACAATTGTGATTCATAATTCATAAATTCATCTGAATGGTCTACAATTTTAAACTGAATAATGAGATGTCACTACAAACTTTTTCTCGATGTTGTTAGATGGTGAGCAAAATGTTCCAGCACGTAAGAACGACACATGAAGCAAACAAAACCATGAACAAACCGAATGGTAGATTTGTTACTATGAAACCTAGAACGCCGACTGTGTCTGCAAGGTTTCATGACAGTCTGCAGCAGCTTTTGGACTCCATGTCTCAGTTAGTATATTTGGAACTTTTATTGTTTTTGGGAGATTTACAAATTTTGGAGAACCACATTCCAAATCCTCACATCTCCAATCCCACACACCCCAGATCCATCACATCCCAAATCCCATACACCCCAAATCCCACACATCCCAAATCCATCACATCCCAAATCCATCACGTCCCAAATCCCTCACACCCCAGATCCATCACGTCCCAAATCCCATACACCCCAGATCCATCACATCCCAAATTCCATACACCCCAAATCCATCACATCCCAAATCCATCACATCCCAGATCCATCACATCCCAAATCCTTCACACCCCAAATCCCACACATCCCAAATCCATCATATCCCAAATCCCTCACACCTCAGATCCATCACATCCCAAGTCCTTCACACCCCAAATCCCACACACCCCAGATCCATCACATCCCAAATCCCACACACCCCAAATCCCACACATCCCAAATCCATCATATCCCAAATCCCTCACACCCCAGATCCATCACGTCCCAAATCCCATACACCCCAGATCCATCACATCCCAAATTCCATACACCCCAAATCCATCACATCCCAAATCCATCACATCCCAGATCCATCACATCCCAAATCCTTCACACCCCAAATCATTCATGTCCCAAATCCCACACACTCCAAATCCTTCACATCCCAGATCCATCACATCCCAAATCCTTCACACCCCAAATCATTCATGTCCCAAATCCCACACACTCCAAATCCTTCACATCCCAGATCCATCACATCCCAAATCCTTCACACCCCAAATCATTCATGTCCCAAATCCCACACACTCCAAATCCTTCACATCCCAGATCCATCACATCCCAAATCCTTCACACCCCAAATCATTCATGTCCCAAATCCCACACACTCCAAATCCTTCACACCCCAAATCTATCACATCCCAAATCCTTCACACCCCAAATCATTCATGTCCCAAATCCCACACACTCCAAATCCTTCACATCCCAGATCCATCACATCCCAAATCCTTCACACCCCAAATCCCACACATCCCAAATCCATCATATCCCAAATCCCTCACACCCTAAATCCTTCATATCCCAAATCCCACACACCCCAAATCCTTGACATCCCGAATTCCAAATCCCCCAAATCCCTCACACTCCAAATCCTTGACATCCCGAATCCCAAATCCCCCAAATCCTTCACACCCTAAATCCTTGACACCCCAAAACCTTGGCATCCCAAATCCCCAAATCTCGAACCTCCCTAAAACACTAGAAACCCCAAATCTCCAAACCTCCAAATCCCCAAAATCCCAAGTACCTCAACATCCAACCCAACCCCACCCTCCAACCCAAATCCTCCCAAATCCCCATAATCTTCGGGTCCATAATTTTCAACGCGCACGTCAACATTGCAGATGCAATCCATGGTTCGTGCGGTGCATCAAACCGAACACAGAGAAGGCGCCCATGAAATTCGACATGCCCTGCGTACTGGAGCAGCTGCGTTACACGGGAATGCTCGAAACGATTCGAATTCGGAAAACGGGTTACCCGGTCCGACTCTTGTTCGGACACTTCGTGGATCGGTATAGATACCTGGTTTCCACGCATTTACCTAGAGGAGCACCTAACAAGGAGCTTTGCCGAATAATTTTGGACAAGGCTGCTCCGAAGGAAGCTCAGTCGCAGTATCAACTGGGACTCACTAGGGTGTTTTTGAGGGAGTCGTTGGAAAGGACTTTGGAGTATAATAGGGCGCTGATTTTGGAGAGGGCGGCTATTACTGTTCAGAGGTAGAGTATTAAAAATCATCTAGTTTGATTATTTAGTTAGTTTGCATAGATGATGTGGATTGGAATCTTTGACTGAAGCTAACTAAAATTGAACATTTGTATCTTTGATGAATCTCACATGTAGTCGAGTTGTATTTATTGTATGATAACTAGAATACAAGTAATTTTTTATAAAATACCGAATTTGTAATTAAACAAGGTTCTGACAAAGCTAGCCATCCACATGTAAAGCAACAGCCTATATGTTAGTATATGAACATCTGATACAATGTCTGTAATTGTCCCACAAAACAGGTACACAAGAGGATTCCTCGCCAGGAGAAGGTTCTTAAACATTTCACGTAGCACGGTGCTGATACAAGCCGTTTATCGCGGTTATCGCGAAAGGAAGAAGTACAGGGCGTTGAAGAAAGCGGCGTTAATGGCGCAGAAGATATACCGAGGCAAAAAACAGCGCGATAAGTTTAAGGTGCTGAAGGAAGAAATGGCAAAGAGGGCGGAGATCGAGAGAGCCAGTAAAGAACGAGCTAAGGTGAAGCAACAGAGGGAGGAGCAAGAAAGAACCTCCAGAGCTGTGGCTGGTGTGAACCATTTGGAGATTCCGGCTGAGTTGGCCTTCATTTACAGTAAACTTGATGGTAATTTCTTGGAAATTGTTGGTTAAGTGTTGGGGCTATGTAGGATTTATTTCTGAATGGTTAGATTAGATAGTAGATTTACTAGTAGATTAGATGTGGATTATTGGATTTGTGTATATTGTGTTTATGTAGTTTAGGAGTTAGGTTAATAGGTCTAGGTATGATTATGGCTAGGTAGATCCATAAATACCTGTGCACTAAAATTGCAAAGGGCCTAGGTTCCTATACTCCACATCTAGGTCACTAGGTCTAAATATCATTATGGCTAGGTAGGTCCACAAATACCTGTGCACTAAAATTGCAATGAGCTTAGGTTCATATACTCCACATCTAGGTCACTAGGTCTAAGTATCATTACGGCTAGGTAGGTCCACAAATACCTATACACTAAAATTGCAATGGGCCTAGGTTCCTATACTCCACATCTAGGTCACTAGGTCTAAGAATCATTATGGCTAGGTAGGTCCATAAATACCTGTGCACTAAAATTGCAATGGGCCTAGGTTCCTATACTCCACATCTATGGTTCTAGATACCTATACTCTCCACATCCCTATAAGTCTAGATATACCCTCCATATCCCTATAGTTGTAGCTATACTCTCCACATCCTTGCAGTTCTAGATACCCTCCACATCCACATAGTTCTAGATCCCTATCTCACTAAATTCTTATATTCCTAAATTGACATAGCACTAATCCTCTTAGACATTTAGACACTTGTAGTCCTAGGTGCCTATAGCTCTAGATCACCACATTCCCAAACTCATACACCTCTAAATCTCCACATCACTCAGATGATTGTATCCTAAATAATGATGTGAAGATCCATATGTCCCTACATCCCTACATTTCTAAGTCTCAAATCCACATGCACCTGGATACCTAAAGACCTAGACCTCCACATCTTCAAACCCATATACCTCCACATTCTGATACACCCACCCATCTTGATTCATCAGATCTTGATCTTAATAGTACAGTCTTACAATAATAATAGTCTTACAAATCCTTAAATCGATAGACTTGCCATAACCCTAACAGCCTAACCCTGCATCCAACTAATCACTACAATTTATTCTTACAGACTGGCAGCCTACCCACACAGAAAGAAACCTCCTGAAAGTTGTAGGCCAAGTGATCCCCATGCACCACAACTACACTCTACCCAACGACATCGACCAGCACCAGTTCTCGAAATTCACCAACATCTACTTCAAGAGCCACATCTTCGGCATGAAGCGAGAACCAATAAAGACACCGTTCCTAGCGAAAGCCAGAGATCAGGATTACACTGACTCACTGATGATCTTCAAGATGATACTCCGCTTCATGAACGAGAACAACTTGAGCGGCAAAAGGGAGCAAGCTTTAGGAGACTACATAGTGAACAAAGGCATCGTCAATGAGAAATTGCGAGACGAGATTCTGTGTCAGTTAGCTAACCAGACGTGGAAGAATGAGAATGATGCGAATAAAGAGAGGGGATGGTTGTTGCTGTCGAACTGTCTGTCAGCGTTTCAACCATCGTCGACTTTGTTTAAGTACTTGCTGAAGTATGTGTCTGATCATGCGTACGATGGATACAAGGCTTACTGTCAGAGGAAGCTTCTGCAAGGTGAAAGAACGATATTCAGAATTATGAGCAATAATCAGCAGATTGTTCATCATGTGCCGAGAAACTATCCTCCGTGCGTTCTGGAGTGGAGGGCGAATAGGAACCGAGTTAATATGGCGCTGAGTGTGGGATTCTATGATGGTGAGTAGGTGTGAACTTTCAGTTGGAGAGTCAGAGGATAGGGTTAGGTAGAGGGATGAGGATAAATGATTTTTGATGAGGTCACTAGGTCCCACTAGGGCACCACTGTTCTGAAATCTGAGGACTCCAGTTCCAAATTCCTAAAGTCACAAATTCAAAAATCCTACAGCCAAGGTTCTAAACTCCTGAAGATTCCAAGGTTCCAGACTGAAAATCACAAAGCACCAAATCCCAAGGTCACAAGGTTCCAAACTTCTGATATCTCAAGATACTAAAATTCCAAAGTCCTCAAGCTTCAAACAGCTCTAAAATTCCAAGCTCCCATGATCTCAAAATCCCTCAATTCCCAAGGTCCCATGATTCCAAAATCCCCAAGTCCCAAGGTCCTAAAATTCCAAGGTCCCAAAACCTAACCTAACCTAACCAAAAAAACCCAAATCCTACCCAGACTCGAGCAGAAGTTAAGAATCCTTGCAAAAGGTATGGTTATTCACTTCAGCATCTATTTCCAGGTGAAGTAGTGACCTGCGCAGTGGATTCATGGACGACCTGCGAGGAGTTGGCTAACCTAGCCGTCCACAATCACGGTGTGGACAATTCTGGCTGGACCATCACTCTGTGGAACCAGTTAGATGGTCCAGACGCCATAGTGACGGAGACCAATGGATTCGATTACGTGCTAGACCTGATTTCGGAAATGGAACTGGCTCCAGCGTTCCCAGCTGCCAAACACATGTTCCTGGAGCAGCGGAAGAATAGCTTCCCTCCGATTAAGAAGAGAGAAGTGAGTGCACGTTTATGTGGGGATATTATGAGTGACTGTGATCTCTTATGACTGTGTGATGTCTTTCAGCATACGCAGATAATTCGAGAGCTGGAGCAGGAGATAGAGCCGCCGGTTCTGAAGACCTTCCAGCCTCTGGAGAGGAAGACGGTACCCAAGGTTGTGGACAAACCTGTGGAACCGGAGATCCAGTCGCCGAGGAGGCCGGCTGTTCCTCCTCCGCAACCACCTGTCACCAAACCATCGGTATGTGACTTCTTGCAAATCTATCTTACTGAGAAGTGTATTTGAAACATCCTTGATGTTTATTAATAGATGAGGAAGCAATCACATGAAGGAATACTCGAGACCACAACCGAGACAGGTCTCTCCCGCAAATCTGCCCTGAACGACAGATACTTCGAGAAGGAGAAGCAACGCAGCCGCAGTTTGGATAACTTACTCCAACCAGAGGTTGTGGCTCCACCCGTGAAGCTAGCCAATCTGGGTCTATCCTCCTCGAAGTTGAACGAACGTTACCACAGTCTCGAGAGGATAGGCGAAACGTCCGCGGTCAGCAATGTGGAGTACATGAGCAGGAACGAAATCTCGCAGGAGAGGAAGTACAGTAGGATAACCAGGACGACGGAACCGAATATCGAGGAGGAGGACCTTACCATCGATTTTGAGTACCCGGACATTCAGTCGGTCAGCCAGACTGGGAGGTCCGAGGATGATAAGAGCAGCTACATTAGGTCCCAGACTAGGTTCATCAAATCTCAGTACCCTGGTAAGCTTGCTTAGGTCTTTAGTTTTTATGTGATCAGGTCACTTCATCGCTTTGTTTATGGGATCACTGGAGCATTCAGTGATCAGGATTTCAATATTGTTGATGTTAGAAGGGTAGAGGCTAGAATGTGAGGGATCACCAGTTAGGTAACTTCTAAGCTATCTAACTACCTACTCTCCTAAGCTACCTACTAAGCTAACTACCTACTCTCCTAAGCTACCTACTAAGCTAACTACCTACTCTCCTAAGCTACCCAACTACCTACTCTCTTAAACTACCTAACTACCTACTCTCCTAAGCTACCTACTAAGCTATCTAACTACCTACTCTCCTAAGCTACCTACTAAGCTATCTAACCACCTACTCTCCTAAGCTACCTACTAAGCTAACTACCTAGTCTCCTAAGCTACCTACTAAGCTACCTAACTACCTACTCTCCTAAGCTACCTACTAAGCTACCTAACGACCTACTCTCCTAAGCTACTTACTAAGCTACCCACTCTCTTAAATAACTAAGGGCATACCTCAGTCATACCTTAGATCATAAGGTATCTGAAGAATGTGACGAAGTAATTTCAACATGTTCAGACTTTCAAAGAATGTGCTACTTTCAGTACATTCCCTCAATGTGTTGCAATTCAATCAGATCCCTAACAGTACACCTTTGGAATGCGACTGAAATCCTAAGTAATGAACCTCAAAGCTAACAGTCCTCCGTATAATTTGAAGGTAAACGAGCACTGCCAGGCAGTCAATCCAGCCGAGCATACATCGAGAAGAGCGAGTACGGTGTGAAATCGTCGGCCATGTCAGACACGAGCGAAGCTCCTTCCCTGGCGTCCCACGTAAGGCGAGTCAGGGTCCCTAGTCAAGCTTCGGACGTGGACCAGTTTCTGGACGAGTTGTTCATGCCCGTCCTCGACGGCAACCTGGACGAGCTATCGGACGCCAGAAGCCTGGCCGCCAGCATCAAAGGTACAAAGGAAGACAGATCTCGGAGCGATGCCATAATCCTTGAATCCCTGGAGCGAGATCATGCGCCTCGAACTGTGAACGAGTTCATTGAGAGGATGATGAAGAGCGACGACGAAACGATCACGGGTGAAGAGTTGTCAAGGAGGATCAAAGGCGGAGGCAACATGGACATACCCAACCAGAACGCGACCTTCAACTTCGGTGCCATTACGCCAGGGATGATGTCACCGCCCATGATGATGCCGATGTTCAGTGCACCTCAACAAGTACCCCCTGCTCAGAGCAGCAGCATGAACATGAATCCTAGCTTCATGCCCATTCCGATTTATAGTATGCAAGGACTCAGTCTCCCTCAGTATCCTAATTCACCTCCCAATCCTAACAACGACATGATGGCCTATCAGCAGAACTTGCAAAGAGCCTTCCTGCAGAGTGCCATGGCGCAGAATATACAGATTCAACAGCAACTGCTTGCGCAGAATCAGGCTCTTCAGCAACTGCTCGTGCAGAGCCCTCAGAACTCTTCGCAACAACCGGTGAGAAATTTTTTATCAGTTCGTGTAGGAGTTTTGAGAATCAACACTGCAGAATTTTCGGTTATTTTCTGGGGAGTGAAATTGGTTGATGTTTGGTCTTTGAAGGGGGGTTGGATATCTACACGTTTGATATGTACACGTTAGATGTTTACTCGGTGGATTTGCACGTGGTGGTTTTGTTGCGTTGGATATTTACGCGTTGGATATCTACACGCTATGTTAATACGCGTTGGATTGCTGCGCGTTAGATATCTGCACGCTAGATTTCTACACGTTGCATTACTACGCGTTGGATCTCTACGCGTTGGATTTCTATGCGTTGGATTTCTACGCGTTAGATATCTGCGCGTTGGATTTCTACGCGTTAGATATCT